ATCTCTTCTGGTCTGTTTCACCTTGAAATTATTGAATTTTTTTGAAAAAAAAGTTTGTTGTGAATTTGGTACAAGTGATCATTAGAAAGAGTGTCAGATCTAGTGTTATATAACTAATATACTATAAAGATTAAACTTTATAATTTATTATGTATAATTTATTACAATGCACTGAAACAAGCCAATTAAGAGATATGCAACTTTCAATTGAGTTAAATAGATCGACCAATTAAAATCTATATAGAGGACATGCCTCAAAAATTTGCTATGCCCCTAGCCCTAGTATCTACTAGGCCAATTTGAAAGATCTAACTATTATTAGATGCGTCTCAGTGAGCTCTACAACTTTCAATTAATTGACTTTGGTTGTTAACTTAATAAAAAAAAACACTTTTCATTCGACTCCGCTCAGATTCCAGCATATAGTTAATAATATAGAAATTGTGCTAATCTTATTTGGATCATCAATTAAAATATTTTAAAACAGAAAGTTTATATGTTCGATTTAAACTAAATACTTTATTTTTAATTAATAAAAAAATATACACATAGCCCATAAATATTCAAGTTTATTAATCTTTATCAACACTACTATAAAACTAGTAAACCAAATAAAAAAGATAAATTTTATCAAAATATATATTTTTTTCTTATTTAACTTTATATAATTATTATATTTGTGTTTAAAATCTAATTGGAAATTAATCTTTTTATAAAACTGTATATACCAGGTTAGAAAATTGACCAATTATTCAAATTTATTTAGTACAATATATGCATATTAAAAACTAATACACAGATATATGTAATTTTTTTGTTTATAACAATAAGAATTTAAAACTGATTAAACAAAAAAATATATAGTTAACATTTATTATGATACCTATAAATACCATAAATTAAAACTTTTTCTCTCATGATCATTTCCTTCAAATACGAAGTTAATATGTTTTATTTCTTGAAATCCTTCTTCTAATTTTGGTTCGGAGAATTTGGAATTGTATACATTATATGCTATATCTGGTAATGGTCGAGTCTATAAACCCAAAATAATCAATATTAGGTTTA